GCTCTCGTAGTTACCACTTGAATACGACTCAGTGCGTCGGCATTTGTATTATTCACTCCTGGTTTGAAATGAATAGTATACTGGTACTCTTCCAGCTTCAAACGCCATCGAGTTAAACGTGATCCGGGATCTGTAATGTTGAATAACCAAACCAGTGCACGATGGTCCGTTATTATGTTCAAATGTTGTCCAAATAGGTACGGCCTAAATACTTTTATTCCCCATAAAATACTAGTTAGTTCTTTTTCCGTAACATTGTAGTTGATTTCAGCCTTGTTTAGTGTCCGTGATGCGAAAGCTATTGGTAAATCCTTCCCAATATGTCCTTGAGACAGTATACAGCCTATGGCGTAATTGCTTGCATCACACGTTAGATTAAATGACTTCTGGAAATCTGGGTATTGTAGAATCGGAGCTTGAGTGAGGAGGTTCTTCAATGTTTCAAATGATGTCTGACATAAATCGCTCCATCTATAAGGAACGTCCTTTTTTAACAATGAGGTCAGTGGCTTCGCGATCTGCCTATAGTTTCTGATGAATCTTCTGTAGTAACCTGATAGTCCTAAAAAAGACTTGACCTCTTTCACATTTCTTGGAATTGGAAATTGTTTCACACAACTTATCTTCTGAGGATCTGGCTTGACTCCTTCGTCAGTGATTTTATGTTCAAGATAATTAACTTCTTTTCGGAGAAATTCACACTTCAGTGGTTGAAGTTTGAGATTGTATTGCCGGAGTCTCTGAAAAATCTCGGTGATTTCCTGTGAATGATCATTTAGATCCTTTGCATAGATGATGATATCATCTAGATATACAAATGCTTTGATTCCATTTATACCGATTAAAACTTTATTCATGAGCCTCTGGAAGGTCCCTGGAGCTAACTTCAAACCAAATGGCATTCGTTCAAATTCGATATGTCCCCGGTCTGTAGAGAACGCCGTTTTTCTACGGTCGGAGGGATTCATCGGAATTTGGTGGTACCCGTGGGCTAGGTCCAAGGTACTGTAATATTTTGACCTTCCTAATTGGTCCATAATATCCACGATATTTTTAAGTGGGAAAGTATCCCCTATCGTGACCTCATTCAGTCGGCGAAAATCCACGCAGACACGGTATTTAACCTGGCCATTGACGTCGGGTTTCTTCGAGACTACTAGGAGTGGAGCGTTCCAAGGTGATTCACTAGCTGTAATCACACCTTCCCGTTCGAGGGCCTCCATTTGGTCCGTAATTTCCTGTCGATGCCTTTGTGATAAACGGTAGGGTTTTACGTGAATTGGCGATACCGCTTCTGAGGTTTTGATCCTGTGTGTGACCGCTGTAGTTGACGACACTCGATATCCTTCTAAAAAGAATATGTCCGAGTAGTCTTGACAGATGGCCACTAATGATTCCCTTTCTTCAGAATTCAGATGATCCTTTCTAAGTAATTCTTCCAATCTTTTCAGTCGACTACTGCTTGCATGAGGTTATTCTTGTAGATCCGTGACTTGTACCGAATGTATCAGAGCTTCCCTGAACTGCTCGTGCATCAGTTCCTTTAAATTGGGCGTCCTTAGCCTTATTGCTTCTTCGGTTGGGTTGATGAGTGTGGCTAACACCCTTTTGTTTTGTACTTTGGTTACAGAGTTACTGCACATGACTGATTTAGTGACTTCTTGACATACGATGAGGATGATTTCATTTTCTGCGCGATACTCTACTTATATTCCTACGAGGGTTTCAGTGCAGGGTTTTAGCACTATTTCAGCCCCGTCAGGAATGATAACTTCATTAGTCTGATAATTCAGAATAATTTTGTTTTCTACCATAAATGGTCGTCCAAGGATACCATCGTTTGGGATTGGGGATGTAGAATGGATTACTTGGAACATTGCAACTATAATTTTATCCTCGATACATATATCCAGTTGTGTTTGTCCCAGCGTGTGTACTATCTGGTCATTAATGCCCTTCAGGTGATATATGACATCTTCATGCACGATTGTCTGATCCGCGAGAGACGAGATTTTTATTAGATTAAGCTCACTCCCAGAGTCTAAAGCGGCCCCTAGACGATCAATAATATTGTCAATATTTGTATCAATAATATTGACGGAACCATATTGAAGCAAGTATTGATCGTTTAGAAGGATATTGATATGGATTGTCAATCATTGAGAGAGATTGATAGAAATTTTGATTGATGCTCATTGACGGGCAAGATTGACAGGACGTATTGAACGTCTAGAAGCGTTTATTGTCAATATTTCCGAAATTGTTATCATTTATCAGTCAGACAGAATGGCGGAACTATCGACACCGCTTGGCGACGAATCGGGTGGTGAGCGTGAGTTTTTAACACTTTTGATAACTTTATATCGTGATCATCCTGAACTATGGCAATTGAGATCAAAAGATTATTTCAATAAAAATAAAAAAGCTAAAGCACTCCAAACAATTGTGGACACTTTGAAGCCGTATAAATCTGATTTCACAGTAGAGAAATTAAAACAAAAAATTAATATATTGCGCACTAATTTTAACAAATGCTACAAGGCGATTAAAAATAAGAAACGGTCAGGTGCATCAGTGGACGATATTCCAGAACCCAACGTATGGTATTACAACGAACTGCTGTTTATCAAGGACCAAGTCGAGATAGCAGAAACTCAATCTTCCGAGGTTAGTAAACATCAAATATATTTTATTTATTTATGTGTATAATTATATTTTACGACCTCACTATTTCTATAAATGAAACTGGTATGATAAACAATCCACGCATGGCATATTCGATGGGCAGTCGTTGTTTTGTTGCGATAAGCTTTATTTTATTTTACACACATGACACAGTTGGATTATTGATTATTTTTACCATTATTGTTTACATATTGTATTTAATTTCCATTTACTTAATTTCGAATTTTTTTCCTACCTAATATATAATATTACATAATATTATAATAATAATAATAATAATATATAATATTTAATAATAATAATACATAATATAATAATAATAACATAATATTTAATAATGACTTATACAATATACCTGCTAAATTTAACAAATAATACAGAGGTACCTATATGGTTCTAAGTCAAATAATTGTTTTGCCACGGAACTGAGCCAGAAGAGTTGAAATACTCGCAAAAATCATCTCTTATTTTTTTTGCTTCAGCCGCTGAATTTCCTCTAGTTCTTTGAAGTTCTGCCACGTGCTGAGTTCCTTGTCTCCATGAACCTTCTTCTACTCTGCCAGTATCTTTGTTTTCGTAATCAACATCACCACGTTGCAAATAATATCCATTATTTCTTGTTGACAAGTAGTTGTGTAAATGACAGCAAGCCATCACTATTTTCCTAGCCTTGTGTGGTTCAAAATTAATATTTTTTTGGAATATTTTGAACCTCGATGTTAAAATTCCAAACGCATTTTCAACAATCCTGCGTGCTCGGGACAATCTATAATTAAAAATCCGTTTTTCATCCGTGAGTACTGCTCTGTTGTAAGGTTTCATGAAATTTGGCTGAAGTTGGAAAGCTTCGTCACCGACAAACACGTAAGGAAACGTTTTATTTGAGCCGGGTAATTCACGTGCATTAGGAATGTTTAATTGGTTCTGAGACAACTTTTGCCAAAATATCGTGTTCTTCAGAACTCCACCATCAGATATTCGTCCATTCGCTCCAACATCTACCATGATAAACTGATATTTCGCATTGACAATAGCCATGAGAACAATACTGAAAGTACTTTTGTAGTTGTAGTAATAAGAACCAGAATTGGGTGGTTTTTTAATCAATATATGTTTGCCATCTACACTACCAATGCAATTGTGAAAGTTCCAAAGTTCTTCAAAATTCTCAGCTAGTTGTTTCCAACCCACTTCAGTTTTTGGTACCTGAGTAAAAAAAAATCATTTTTTTTTTTTTAGCATAATTTGAGTGAAGACTTACAGACACTGTCTACTGACCAGCCAATCCCTCTACCACCAAAGAAAAAAAAACCATCTTCAAAGGATTCAACAGAGGAGCTAGTTGGTTTAGCTACACAATATTTTAAAAAATCTGAAACTGAATCGGACTTCATAGCTAAGGGATGGTCTCTAAAGTTAACCAGACTGAATTCAGATCAAAGGTGTTTTGCGGAAAAAATAATTAATGATACTTTGTTTGAAGCAGAAATGGGCACATTAACGAGGCATGGAGTGGTTTTCTTAACGTCTTCACAATCTGTATTGACACCTTCGTCGTCCCAGACAACTACGAACATTAGATCCCCCTACTATTCGTCAAGCTGTGTATCATCATCTCCATCACCTACATCTTTACTTTATTCAAGACCTAGCTCTCCTCCGATTACACACATCACTCCTAATCACTATGTTTCTCCAGTAAATTATACTCCAATCCAAAACTCTGAAGATACCGTTCAAGAGGAAAATGTGGCAAGTTACTTGTCAAGATTTTCTTCGTTTTAAGTTAACAAACAATAGTTTTTTAGTTTTTATATTTTGAAATAAAAAAGGTTTTGATGTAATTCAAGTTGTATTTTTTATAGTAAATAATAATTTAAATATTGTAAAAGTTGTTTTTATATTTTAAAACGAAAAAGGTTTTGATTTTATTCAAGTTGTTTTTATACTTCATAATGATTATAATATGTTAATAATGATTTTAATATTGTAAAAGTCGTTTTTATATTTTAAAATGAAAAAGGTTTTGATTTTATTCAAGTTGTTTTTATACTTCATAATGATTATAATATGTTAATAATGATTTTAATATTGTAAAAGTTGTTTTTATATTTTAAAATGAAAAAGGTTTTGATTTTATTCAAGTTGTTTTTATACTTCATAATGATTATAATATGTTAATAATGATTTTAATATTGTAAAAGTTGTTTTTATATTTTAAAATGAAAAATGTTTTGATTTTTGCTTGATAACCTCAAAAATAAAATAAGTACATACATACCTGTATATTATCTTTTAATGTTTCGATTATTGCATCAGAGGTTTCCATTATGATGCCTTCCAAAGTCTGAGGGGCAATAGCACACATAAACTTCAAATCTTCCAAATCCATGCCAGACGCTAGATATCTTAATGTCACGAGAAAGTCTCTGACTTGCAGGGATTGCTTTACGCATAATAGTGTCTTGTTTTTCTATTTTGGGCCTAACTAGCTCAAGTAAAGTTTCAAACCCTTCTTGGTCCATTCGAAGAAAATTTTTGTAATCTTCTGGTTCTGTATCTCGAAGAACGTTTAGCAAATTTTCATGAGTAAAACGACTTCGCAGCTTAAACCACTCTTTTGACCAGCGTCTAGTTCTTTTCTTTTTTTGTTTTCTCAATTTGAATATTGCCAAAGTCACAGCTAGAAACCCCATATCAGTATTGGAAACCATTTCAAAATATTTAAATTAACACTCCGAACACGACACGAATACTTTGAAATCCAGAATCGAATGAGTATTGACGGCTGTGTTTGACGTGCTGATTGAAGTACATTGACGCTGGTGTCAATCTAACTCGTCAATATTATTGACAATATTATTGATCGTCTAGGGGCCGCTTAAGAGTAGCTTCGATTTTTTGCTGAAGGTCTGTTCAATGTGGCAGGTTAAATTATCGCGATTTAATTCTGCTTTGAAGTAGATGATTTTTCGTTGCCGTTGTTTTTTAACTCGCTCACCGGGCGCCCACCGCTGGCGGCCGGTCGCTGCTGGTTTTCCTGCTAGTTGCCTTCCTTTTTAGAGTTTACATAATTCCTTTTTCGGCAATCTTTCAGCAGGTGTCCTGGTTTTTTACAATAGTTGCATTCGATGCTTAATTGGTGCCGTTGTGGAAAAAGATCTTGAGTTTGTCGTTTCCAGTTTGCTCCTGCAATCGTTTGCCATATGACCAACTTTATTACAGTGAAAACAAGTCGGTTTCTTCGTGGATTGGTGTGGCGCTCTATATAACTTCTTTGTCGCTTCTTGTGAGTTTCTGACCCGTTCTTCTTATCTTGCTGCCTGTATGGCCTTGTCTAACGTTAGCGGATTCCTGGTCTTGATGAAGTCTTTTAGAGGTCCTAGTCCCTCTACGAATACTTCGATGCTTTGCTTCTTGATACTCGCTCCTAGCGCTTGAGCTACCTTCCAACTGTGCCCATTGGTCTCTTGCCCTATGATAAGTGTTTGGAGTTACTCAATCCTATTTGCGTAGTTAGTTACATCTTCTCCGATTTTCTGCCTTGTTGAATACAATTCTGAAAATAGATAAGTAGTCGTCCTTGCGGTTCCAATGCAGATTTCAACGCTTCCTTTAGTTGAGGCCAATGTTTTATCTCCTTGAACTTGACTGCCTGACGGGCTTTCCCTGTCAGTCCAACTTGAATACCTTGGAGAAGTCGTGCCTGTACATGGTCATGTGCGCATGCTAACGCAAACTCGCATTTTTCCAAGAATATTTCCAATTCCTCTTGCTTGTCTTCACTGAACGAGCCTGGCATGAGTTTTAGAGCGGCCTCCAGTCCTAGTGTCTCTCCTCTTGATCCGAATGAATATCGTACACCGGATTGATCTGGATTTTCTTCAATTACTTGAGGATTTGATATCGCTTGAGTGTCTGCATTTGATGTTCCTTCAGAATTTACCATGACACTTTGTTGGTTGTTACCGGTAACAACCTGTGTTTGAGCTGTTTCCTGAGTGCCTGGATTCATGGTTTGGTCACTACAGTTAAGGGGAGGGGAGGGTATATTCTGATTTAAAAGATTTTCTTCAATTGATTGGTATAGGATATTAAGATTGAGTTGATTTTCGGTATCTACTTCCCCCAAAGTTACTGAGACGTTATGTATTAACTCTGAATTATGGTCTATTAGAACGCCAGTTCTGATAAAGAAGTTATCAGTACTGATGTTCCCAATAGAACGTTCAGATGTCGGATTTTCTGGATTTGAGAATCGTATTGGTAAACTTACACAAGGGGTAGGACTTGGCGGTACTATTGGACTATTTGATTCGTTATCTGAATTTGGGTCCGAATCGTTCTTCCCTGTTCCGCTCATTAACTACTTAGCTACTTGACTGATACTTAACGAATTGTTATTTTTATATATAAAAGTGTTTGTGTTTACATGCAATTGTATATATATGCTAATGCTAACTACGATATTAATATTATATTAATACAATACTACAGATTTACGATTCTGAATCATACAGAAAGAAATAATAATAATAAGAATAAAAAAAATAGATAGGAAGAAAAACGTACTTATCAATTAGTACGGAGTGTAGAACTAATGATTTATCAAGATATGGTTACAGTTTCTTTTTTTTTCTTATTATTATCAGTTTATTTTTTTTTTTTTTTTACTCACAGTATCGCAGTTACAGTGATCCTTGCCATGTTTTTTTTTTTATATTTACTGATTTTTTAACACTTCTACGAGATGCTCGGAATGGTCTGCACAGATGTTCTGCTTGGCTTGAATCGAATTCCTTGTCTGTTAACGACGACTTTCCTCTTCGACTGCGCTTGTGGAATCGAAGTTCGCTAGCCCCGAAACTGCTGGCGCGGGGACCACTATACGCTGTAGTGGGTTTCTATGATAATACTAATATAGTATAATTTTATTTCACGCGTGACGAGTCTATGAACACGGCGCACTCGTGTAGTATATTTATATAAATAACTAGCTGATCCCGTGCACTTCGTTTCCCGTTAAATGTATCAACTCTATATGACTCAAACATTGTTCAATGCGTTATTTAATATTCGGTGTATAATGTTCTAGATTTATCTTAACTTTTCTGTTGCCCGGAATAAAAATTCTGAATTGCAGCAGTACATTATCAGATAGGTAATTTAACTGCGGTAGATCGCGGACCCCGTGCTCTTTGTACGTAAGTGTATGATTTAACTCAAAAAGTACCAAAGTTATACCAAGTTTGACGTTTTTACTTAATTCCACCTACCTATAAATCCTAACCTAACATAACCGTACTAAAATCTATAAAATGAATAAAAAAAACCAAATTTAACCCTTTTTAAATTAGCGTATCTTCTTCCCATAGGTCTAATCTACCCACCGTCATTCATTTATATATAAGATATATTTACAAAAAATAATAATACAAATCAACAAACATGCCCGATTAACCAATAGCAACCAATATAATATAATACACCATAGAGCAAATAAAGACAACGGTATCGAGTTCAAATCCCAGACATCAATAAATAGTTTTTGCAGTTTTTCTAATTATTCGGTTGACTTTTTAATAATTTTCTTTCGTAAAAACCTTCACCTGGCAATTTAAAAAAAGTCAATCTCATGTTTTTAATTAGTATATGTAGATCACTTCATAAAGAGTGACTGCGTTCTTTCTAATTTCCAAAATTTTACCATAATAAACAATTTTATTAAACTTGATGTTCAGTGTATCTATGTACTTATCTATTTTACTTTACATGGTTATCAAATATTTAAACTATACCAACACATTACAATTAATAATTGAACATATTTATTAATTTTTCTATATCAAATAACAATTTAAGGTCATAAAATATTATGTCTATCTACTAAAATCTACTAAAATATATATATTTACAAAATTATTTTATCCAGAAAATAACAGACATTTTTGTATTATTATAGTATTGGATTATTTTTATTTTTATTTTAATATTAATATTTACGTGTAAAACCATCAAAATTCAAAATTCCAAAATTGTTTAACTTAATAGGTTATTTTTAAATAAACTGAGGAAAATTAAGTTATTTTAACTTTCAATTAAACTAGTTAAGTTCACAAGGTACTGCAGACTAGTTAAGTTAAAAAATTAAAAAAAAAAATATAACTTTTTAACTAGTTAATGCCAACCTATGGATTTTACGATGTGTATTTTTTTAGTAGTACATATTGTACCTAATGTGAAATTTTAAACTTCAGGTATAAGTCTAGCAAATAATAAACAAACGTTTTTTTAGCTTCAGCTTGTAAAGCAAGATGGATAAAAATTCGTGACCTATATCGTAAAATTACAAATAAAAAAAAACTACATCTGGTCAGGCATTTAAAAAAAATCCTAAGTATACATTTGAGGAACAATTAAGTTTTGTTAACACCTTACTTTTAAGAAAGGCCCACAATATCTACTTTTGGTACCGAAGAAAGTGGAACAGAAGGAGAAGGAGAAGAAGAGTATGGATATCAATCCACATCTCAATATTTGAACAAATCAAAACGTCTAAAAAAATTCTAAAACCTCTGGAAATCTTAAAAAAACTACGGAAACAGCCTCATCGATGGTGATGAAGTACTTATTGAAAAAAAAAAAGAATGAAGAGAAAAAGACATCCGATCCAGTGGATGCATTTTTATTAGGCATTGGGAGCACAATGAAGACATTCGACAAATATTTTTTAAACTTGGCCAAGTCAAAAATTTTTAATATCGTCCAAGATATAGAAATGCAACAAATTATGAGAAACCAAAACCCGGTACCTCAGTTAAATATTGCACCGAACTACAATGTGCCCCCTATTTGGTCACCTCATAATTATCCACTAACCTGGACCAATATAGAGTTTCATAATTATCAACCACCTTCAGCATATTGGAGCGTGATTCATATAATCCTATATCTGCAGAGCTTTCCAGCACTCATAATGTGAACAATATTATGAACGAGCGTTATTGAACTTTAAATTATTTACTTTTTACCTTTTATAAATTAAAATAATTAATAATAATTTAGTTATTAAAAACAATTTATTGTTATTAAAGTATTATATCAACAACTAAATATTTTTATTACCTACTATTGTTTAAGAATACTGCACTTTCATTCTAATACAATATTTAACAGGAGGACGAGGGGGCCGAGAGGTACAACGCGTCGGCTGCGGCGCAGCCGATCCGAGTTCGATCCTTGGTCACCGGGCGGCATTTTTCTTCGGGCAAGTCACGGTGTCCGGAGAATAAGTGCAACACTATAATCCAACACTCCGGGGTATGGCAGAAACCTACGGGTGCCCCAATATAAATTCTGCCAAACACTCACGTGTTCCTAACCGACCATATCAACTGTCCCTATAGTTGCCTATAGTTGCCTATAGTTGCCGGGATGGCCATAGTTGCCGGGCTTACGATCAATAAAAAAAAAACAAAAAAAAATATTTAACAAACATTCGTTATTTGGTAGGTACTTAACTATTATTACAATATATTATTATCATTTTAATAAATATTTTAAATGACATTTAAATTAATCATGGTTCTTACTTCTTACCTCAATGTAACAGCTAATCGATGCCTGGGTGATATGCATTTCCGGAAGCGTGTAGCTTGCCGTTTAATTTCACTTTCAATAGTATTTAGTAGTTTGTTAAAGCTGCACATAGTCA